CTCGGCGTCCATCCTGGTGGCCGAGAACCTGGACTACGAGACCACGCGCTTCTTCACGCTCAGGGTTCGAGTCCAGAATGTCGCCGCCGTGCCGCTCGCGTCGTTCACCACCGTCTACGTCAACGTGACAGGTGAGATAGTGGGAGGAGTCTGTGCTCGACCACTTTTTAAGCTTAACACTTAACACGTGAGAGGGAAGACGTTTCTTCAAAGGGTTGTTTGAGGGTAAACACAAATAAAACATATAAATGTCGTCAGAAATCTAGTTTGTTATTTCGGGAGGTTGATGGTTCTAACAAATCGCTTGCTGTTCATTCCCCGTATGACACCAGAAGTCAGCGTTGATTTGTTTGTCTCATAACTTACGCCCTTCTGTAGTTATTCTAACTCAAACCACGACGAACTAAATACTTCACAAACTTTTCCCAACTAAGTTGTTTCCCGTGAAGATGTAATTCTATTTAGAAAATACTGTATTCACGTAACGTGTGGAAATTGACACGTTTTGTTGGCTTTAGCAGGAAAACAAATGAGGATTTACTTTTTGTAACTATCCATCCGTTACGTTGAACCGGTGACAGTCAGACCTGATTGTACTCGTCTGAATATTAAATGATTTCATATCTAAACACAAGTCGAAATCAAAACACACACTAAAATAACAGTCGCATCGCCGGTCGTCTCTGGCGGCAGAAGAAACAGGCGGCGTGAGACTCACTTCAGCAGTGACTCATCAGTTCAGTCTGTAGGCGGCTGCAGAGAAAAAACACTTCCTGACTTTGATTGGCTTTGAACAAACCCACATCGGACGCTGTAATTGGCTTAGCAGAGCTTGAAAGTGAGCTGACAAGCGGCTTTTGTGGACTCTTCACGGTGTTTTGGAGGATTATTCCTCACTAATAAGTTGGTTTTCATCAGTCCGACTTCACTCTCTTTCTCCGTCTGTTATGTGTTAACGTTTTAATCTTCTTCTATGGTGTGAATGTGGCATAAAAACCACAAACTTTCTTTGACCTCGATCTGCTTGTCTTTCTTGCGTTTCTTCTTCTTCTTCTTCTTTGTCTTTTCTTTCCTCTTCTGTCAGTTTTTAATCCACTTTAATCAGCTTTTCATGGACGTGACAGACGGCATGTGTTCTGCTGCCAGATCCTGCAACAACAAAACAAACACAAAAAAAGATAAATTTAGGAGTAAATGCTTCCTCCTCTTTTCTTTTCTCTCCGTCAGACGTGAACGACAACGTTCCTTTCTTCCTGTCGTCCACCTACGAGGCCACGGTGCCCGAAGGAGCCGAGATCGGCACGTCGGTGGCTCAGGTGTCGGCCACAGACCTGGACTCTGGTCTACACGGGATGGTGAGGGACACCTGAACACACCTGCTGATTATCTTCCTCCTCTTCTACTTCTTCTTCTTCAACATTAGCCTCTTCCTTGTTCTCCAGGTCCACTATGTGATCCTGAAGGACGAGAGCGGGGACTCTCAGTTCTTCAGCATCGACTCGCGCAGCGGCGTCATCGTCACTCGAGCTTCCTTCGACCGCGAGCAAAAGGCCTCCTACCTGATCGAGGTCCAGTCCCAGGACAGCTCCGAGTCGGCCAGACCGGGCCAACAGGGACAACCCAACACCGGTAACACTCACTCACTCTCTCATCGTACTGAAGAATCAAAACATTTATCAACATTTTGCATTTAAAAAAGTGAAAGGACTTTTTGTTTTGTGACGGTTTCGGTTACTTATTTTAGCCTAATATTGAAACATCTGCAGGAAGCTTTAAGTTGTACTCAGCACTGCTGTATTGTGTGTTGAATGAATACAACCCACAACTAATCCCCCTAATCCCCCCCTCGTCTAGAAACAATAGGTGGTTAGGAGTCGACACACTTCATTCAAACAAGCAGCGCTGTATGCAGCCAATCAACTCGAAACCATTGTGTAACAACATCATTCAGTTCAGCCAATAACTAAATTAAACTCGCCAAACCGCCCGTGTAGCAGCTGCAGAGCAGCGGCCAAGAGGTTAGCCGTTAGCTGTTAGCCGTTAGCCGTTAGCTGTTAACCGTTAGCCAAACACACCATATGTTCTGTTAGCTGAAACAAATCAGACCACAGAAGAAGAGAGCTGCTTCATGATGATGATGACGATGATGATAATGATGTTCATGATGTCTGTCTCTCAGACATGGCGTACGTCAGGATCTTCGTCACCGACATCAACGACAACGCCCCGGCGTTCGCCCAGCCGGCGTACGAGGTGAGCGTTGAGGAAGACGAGGAGGTCGGCTTCGTCCTCATCACCGTCACCGCCAACGACGAGGACGAAGGTGAGCTGAGTCTTCTGTCTGCTTCTCCTCCTTCTCTCCAGCTCTTGTTTCCTTCTCTGTTCTCTTCATCCCTCGTTCCCTTTCTTCTTTCCTCCTCTCCTCCCCCTCACCTATCACCCACTTCTTCATTTCTCTCCCCCTCCTCATCTTCCTCTCCCCTCCATCCTCTCCTCTTCCTCTTCTCTCCTCTCTTCCTTCTCTCTCCTTCTCATCCTCCATCCACACGTCTTACCTCTCTTCCTCCTCTTTTTCCTCACTCCCCTCCCCCTTTTCTTCCTCTCCTCTTCCTCTCCGCTTCTCTCCTAACATCCTCCTCTTTCTCTCCTTCTTCTCCTCCTCATCTTACTCCTGTCTTCTCTTCTTACTCCTCTCTTCTCTTCTATCCTCCATCCACTATCCTCATCCACTCTCCTCTTTCCCCTCCATCCTCTCACCTCTCCTCCTCCTCCTCTTCTTATTCCTCCTGTCCCCTTCTTCCTCCTTCCTCCTCTCCTCCACCCTCGTCTCTCCCCCTCTATCCTCTCCTCCACCCTCGTCTCTCCCCCTCTATCCTCTCCTCCACCCTCCTCTCATCTTCCTGTCTCTTTTCCTCCTTCTCCACCCTCTCACGTCCCATCCTCCTCTCTCCTCTTCCTCTCGCCTCTCCTCTCCTCTCTCCTCCTCCTCCTCCCTTGCTGTCACAGCTCGTTAGTGGCTGCTGTTGCTCCCTTGAGGTCGACTCTGTTGATGTTTGTCTCTTTGTTTGTCTTCGTCCCTCATTCCTCCTCTTCCTCCTCCTCCTCTTCCTCCTCCTCCGCTCCAACCAATAAGCAGCAGGAGGCAAAAAATGAATAAATGTGAGAACAACAAAACAAGCGCCTCTCTTTCCTCTCCGTCTCTCTTAATGACGGCTGCCGGCGTCTCCTCGGAGCCTCGGGGGGGTTTTCTTCTCTGTGAGCGAAGACGAGTGACGTCTCATTATTTACTTTATTTACTTTTGAATCTTTAACCTTTATTCGTCCTGTTTTCGTGCTCCAGACTCTTGATTCTCCATCTCCCTCTCGTCTCGTTTTCTACAAACTTTTTATTTCGTGGTTTCGTTCAGATTTCTAAGAATGCAGCCGTTTACCGTTCGTGTTAAAAATAGAAACATATGAGGTTGTGTGACTCGGTTGTGTGAGCTGGTGGGAGGAGAGTGAAAGAGTTTAAGAATGTCTCTAATGAGTCTCAGACGCGTTACATGACTCATGACGATCATGTGATTTATGATAATAGGTCCGTTTGGAGATGCACAATGCATGCTGGGTAGATTTGTGTCCGACTTGATCTGATGTCGTGAACACGTGGTCAACGACGACCTCACGAGATCGAGGCAGCTCTCCATCGACTGCAAGACCCAGTGCATGATGGGAAACGCCTGGCTGGCAAAAATGTGCCTCGTGTCTGTTGTGAACACTTGATGATGTCATTACGTCCCATTACGGGCAGATTTTAGCACGACATCGCCTTCTGCCCTCTGATCATGAATGTTAGCATAAATTACAAATAATCCGTGTTGTGTTGAGAAATATTTTGTTCGTGTTTCTACATTCATAATTATTATTTTTTTAAAGTAAGTTGTGCGTTTATTTGTTAAAATTTGATGATGTCCGATTCCAATACTTTTAATCAATTGCTTTTATTGACTTTTATAACCTTTTAGCTTATTGATTGATTTGATTGATTTGATAGTGCAGGCACTGGGGAAATATTTCCAAGGGTTAAATAAAATACACTAAAGCTGCTGCACTTAGTCGGGAGTGAGTTTGTTCTTTTGATGAAAATGATTAACAGATTGGATTATTGTTCAAAACTATTGTTCTGTCTCTGAAGTGTGACGTTAACATGGTTACAGTCTCTCAACACGACTAATTCAATGATGCCGATGCTCTTTGATCTTTTTTTGTGATGAAACACAAACAGTCTTCAAATAGCTGATGTAGTCCGACCAACATTTGGAGTCTCAGAGCTTTAAAACATAGGCTTTGTTTTTAGATTTTTTTATTGTATTTCCAGCTCTTTTTATCCTCATTTTGTCTGTGTGTTTGTTTGTGTGTCTGAGGAGCAGTTGTGGATGGAAGTGTCTACATTTAGTGTTTATTCCCGTCAGACTTGACACCGAACGTGGGATTAAGAAACGCAAAGACAGCAAACTGCTGCTGATTCCCTCCCAAACGTAGACGCTTTATCCCCCGTTCGTGTCTCGTCAGGGACTCCCCGTGGTAATTATCAAGCACCCCTCGACCCCAAACCACTGGGGGGGTCCAAAGAAGGAGACGGAGAACCAGTCATTTTAGCTCAAACCCCCCCCCCCCCCCCTACCTACCAGGCAGGTAGGTGGGGGATTAACTAAAACTGAGACCTGATCCTTGCTGAGTCAGCACTCACTCTGTTTGTGAAGAAATGCATCTCTTCCTCTGGTTGAGTCTCCACTGGTTTAACTGGTGTAGCATTAAATGAAGCCTGAACGTTGTAAAGAGAAGTCAAACGCTAAATAAGCTTCTGAACCTCTAACGCGGTGGTGCAGATTTTGTTCTTCTAATTTCTCTTGCGATACATAAATGTCATTGGGTGCATTTAGTTGCAATATGTCCTTTGTGCTTTGTTGGGCGCATGAAAAGAGGAAAATGTACATTATCGACATTATCGGCCCTCAATAATTGTGAAAAAACTTCACAATAATTATTTTTCAGCTCAGTTTGTTTCGATGCAGGATTACGGAAAGACATTACATTTGGAGCGGTTATGAATTATTTTTCACTTTCGTTCACTTCAGTAGTTATTTTAACCCTAACAACGATCTTTTCCGAAACCTAACTAAGTAGTTAGGTTTAGACAACTAAACTACTTAGTTAGGTTTAGACAACTAAACTAAGTAGTTTAGTTGTCTAAACCTAACTAAGTAATTTTGTTGTCTCAACCTAAGTAGTTTAGTTGTCTCAACCTAACTAAGTAGTTTAGTTGACTAAACCTAACTAAGTCGTTTAGTTGACTGAACCTAACTAAGTCGTTTAGTTGACTGAACCTAACTAAGTCGTTTAGTTGTCTCAACCTAACTAAGTCGTTTAGTTGTCTCAACCTAACTAAGTAGTTTAATTGTCTAAACCTAAATAAGTAGTTTTGATGTTTTTGATAAGAAAACGCAGACAAAAATGAGAAGTAACTGTGTGTAAAATATCCGAACCGTTGCATGAGGATAAGTTGGGATATCTATACCTGTAGGTGTATATAAAGGTGTTTATATAGGTCTATATATGTTTACTGTATAGTGTTGGTTTGTCTGAAGGTGAAAGAAACTATTGACAGAGTTAAAGCTCCAATCTGAGGTTTGATGAGCTGTAAACTAAACTGAAGGTTTTATCCTCCGACTGCAGCTGTGTGTGTGTGAGTGTGTGTGTGTGTTGATGTTGACAGGTGTCCGACATAAACTGGAGGTCAGACGAACACAATTACAGGAGAACCACACACACACACACACACACATACACACACATTCCTGCATTTCTCCCTCAGCGTGATTTGGTGTTTGTTGAAATAATCAAAGGTTGTGCAGACAGAAGATGAAGACGATGAAAGTTTTTTTCCAAATAACTGATCCTGTTAAATCTTTGCTCGCCAAGTCCGTATTTTATCCTCTAAAATTGTCACACGTTTAAAAATAAATACGACCGGCCAGCTCTTCGTCATACGAATGACGCAACAGTTTGTAAATCATTTAGCTTAACTAACACGTGAGAGCGACGGGTCAAAGGCACACCGGATTTTCAACCCAACGTCTTCTTGTTATTACGTTAGTAACGTTTGTGACGTGTTTCCCTGATGTTTTGTTGACATACTTATTTACCTTAGTTAATGTTGTTACGTCATCTATACGTCATGTGGGATGGGAAGGATTCGCATGTTCAGAACTACACAATCTTATAATTTATAGATAATTATTCCGACAGAATGCATCGGACTTTGAGATTCACTGCTTTACAAGATGTGACACATTCATGTATTATTTAGTCAGAGTATGTCAGAGGGTTCAGAAACATCTGAAGAGTGAAGTCAAAGCTTCATGTGTTAAAGCTGCATTCTCTCTAGTGTCCACCAGGGGGCGACTCCTCTGGTTGTATAGAAGTCTATGAGAAAATGACTCTACTTCTCTCTTGATTTATTACCTCAGTAAACATTGTAAACATGAGTTTATGGTCTCAATCTCTAGTTTCAAGTCTTCTTCAATACAGCATGATGTTCATTTTGTACATTATGGTCCATTTAGAGTCAAACAGACCATAATGCAGGGGATGCTTTAGGGCGGGGCTACAGTGATTGACAGGTCTCTACCAGAGACGTATACGACGTCTCTACGTCACTCCTCCTCAGTCCAGATATGGTCACTAACGTTTATCGGTTGCAAAAAACAACAACATGGCGACGACCAAAATGCCGAACTCTAGGCTTCAAAATATCAGTCCCCAAACCAATGACATCATGACGATTACATCCACTTCTTAATTACAGTCTGTGTGTGAAACGTCTGGAAGTCATGTAGGACGTTTCCATGAGCTCCTCTTCACCTTCAAAACGCGTAAATCTTCCTTCAGCACTCAGTTGTTTTGTGAGGAACTCTGAAGGAAGTCAAAGGTACAAAGATGAGTCATCTGAGGTCACAACATGTGATATATTTTGTCATGCTTTTTTAAATTTATTTTTTTAATGGAAATGAAACTTTTCCTCTTGTGAAGTTTTTTTTCCAAAGTGTCGACCTGCAGTCAGCGCTCAGGGACGACTTTCCCCTCCGGTCCTCCTCATGAGGATTTTTTGGGGCCTCCTGCTAGGTTTCAAATTAAATCAGCCCTATCCCCCTGTGTGTGTGTGTGTGTGTGTGTGTGTGTGTGTGTGTGTGTGTGTGTGGGGCAGCACCATATGGCCGGTCTGATCATTAGGGAAGCTGCCGGAGGCACAAAACCGCTGGAGCTGCTCCTCTCACACACATTTACACACACACACACACTCGGAGTGTCACGACGCATCGTGCTCAGAGGGCGGTGACGGACCGGTGCACTTAAGCTTCACACACACACACTCTCTCTCCCTCTCCGGTGTGGTAATGAAGGTCCTCCATGTCTCTACAGATGGTGTTTGTCTCCTAAAGTCTCCTTGGTGCCGGTAAAGAGAGAGCAGGCCGGACCCTGACAGACCTGCCTCTGGGCTCTAAACATGCATCTGTAAATGTGTGTGTGTGTGTAGGTGTGTTTGTGTATTTTACATTAATTTACTCCATCAGGAGAGAAGAGCAGAGGAGATGAGGGAGTCAGGGTCAGAGGAAAGATGAGTTTAGGAGCAAGGAGAGAGGAAATGAAGAGAGAGGAAAAGGCCAGAAGAGGAGCAGAAAGGAGGAGGGAAGGACACAAGGAAAGGAGGAATGAAAGAGTTCAAGAGACAATTTGACAAAAGAGGTATAAAGGATAGAAGGAAGAAAAAGGAAATTTCAAGTTCTGGAGGGAGATGTGAGGAGGAGTGTGAAGAGGAAGGAAGCATAATAGGATAGAAAGAAGGAGAGGAAAGGAAAGGAGGAAGCAAGAGGATGAGACAGGATAGGAGGAGTCAAGGTTCGAGGAAAGATGAGTCTAGGGGACGAGAGGAAAGAAATGAAAGAGGAGAGGAGATGGAGGATAGGAGGAGATACGGCTCTTTTGCAAGGACGGCGAGGAAAAGGTGTGTGTGTGTGTGTGTGTGTGCATGTGCGTGTGTGTGTGTGTGTGTGTGTGTGTGTGTGTGTGCGTGTGTCCACTGCCAATCAAACACTTGTTTTGGGGGTTTTTCCCCGCATGAAAATCTGCTCCAATATCCCTCAAAAAGTTTATTTTCACAATAAGAGCTCTTGTCGGCTCAACGTGTTCTGGGGTCTTTGTTTAAAATGCATGAGGTCATAGAGGATCATAAAGGATCATAAAGGAAGTTGTGTGTGTTGGATCGTGTCAGCCGTGATGTTATCGCCCATATAAAACATCCACAAACCACTCACATTGACCTGATCTCCACTTCCTCCCCTCCAGGTGCCAACGCCAAGCTGCGCTACCAGATCACCTCCGGTAACACCATGGGCGCCTTCGACGTGGAGCCCGAGGTGGGCACCGTCTTCGTGGCCCAGCCGCTGGACTACGAGACGGAGCAGCGCTACGAGCTCCGGCTGGTCGCCTCCGACGGGAAGTGGGAGAACGAGACGCTGGTGGTGGTTCAGGTGGTCAACCGCAACGACGAGGCGCCCGTCTTCAGCCAGACCGAGTACCGCGCCGCCGTGACCGAGGAGCTCACCCAGCTGCCCGTCGTCATGCTGGAGGTCAGTCATCAAACACCGGGTTTTGGTTTTTGCATGTTTTTTTTGGTTCAGCTTGTCCTGTTGAAAATGTAAACATGTGAGAGCAGCACCTCCACCATGACGGTTTAACACAGACTCGTCTAATAGTGTCGGTCACGCCTTCAAACATGGCGGTGAATTCTCCCCGAGGCCACACCTCAGATAACGTGTCCTCAAACTAACACATCACACGTGTGTTTCAACACAATGTCACATTTAACATGGAACCAGGAACCTGGAAAGTCAAGACGACCTCCTCCTTCTTCTTCTTTCTTCCTCTTTCTTCTTCTTTCTTCCTCTTTCTTCTTCTTCTTCTTCTTCTTTCTTCCTCTTTGTTCCTCTTTGTTCCTCTTTCTTCTTTCTTCCTCTTTATTCTTCTTCTTTCTTCTTTCTTCCTCTTTATTCTTCTTCTTCTTTCTTCCTCTTTATTCTTCTTCTTCTTCTTCTTCTTTCTTCCTCTTTATTCTTCTTCTTTCTTCCTCTTTATTCTTCTTCTTCTTTCTTCCTCTTTATTCTTCTTCTTCTTCTTTCTTCCTCTTTATTCTTCTTCTTCCTTCCTCTTTATTCTTCTTCTTCTTCTTTCTTCCTCTTCATTCTTCTTCTTCCTTCCTCTTTATTCTTCTTCTTCCTCTTTATTCTTCTTCTTCTTTCTTCCTCTTTATTCTTCTTCTTCTTCCTTCCTCTTTATTCTTCTTCTTCTTCTTCCTTCCTCTTTATTCTTCTTCTGCTTCTTTCTTCCTCTTTATTCTTCTTTCTTCCTCTTTATTCTTCTTTCTTCCTCTTTATTCTTCTTCTTCTTCTTTGTTCCTCTTTCTTCATCTTTATTCTTCTTCTTCTTCTTTCTTCTTCTTTGTTCCTCTTTATTCTTCTTCTTCTTCTTCTTCTTCTTCTTTCTTCCTCTTTGTTCCTCTTTATTCTTCTTCTTCTTCTTCTTCTTTCTCCGGTTTAACTGATTGGAAACTATTGAACAGATGAAATCTAAGACTTTTTTTTGAGTCTGTCATACTTTTTACAATTTAGTTCAGGTTGAAAGTTCAACTTTAGACCGATGACTCAAGTAAAATGTGTGAGATGTTGGTGTGTTTCTGTGGTTGGATGAGTTCTATTTATCTATTTATTTTGAATTGATGACGTGACAGTGATCTGTCCTGCATCAATAAAAGGAATTTAAAAATCAAAATCAAATCTCTTCTTCTTCTTCTTCTTCTTCTTCTCCACACCTCTCTCAGGTAATTCACAGTAATGTGCAGTGTGCCGTCGAGCTAAATCAGATCAGAGAGGCGGAAGTGCGTCGGGGGAGGGGGGGGAGTAATACCCCGTCAAGAGCGGCGGGTGTCACATGACCCCCCCCCCCTTCGAATGCTGGAATTGATTTGATGTGCACTCAGTTTCCTCTCCACAGTTGTTGTTTTTAGCTCCGTGTGTTAATACAATTCAGCAGATAGCGAAAGGAAGGGGGGGAATCCAATTTGAAAAGAATATTTTTTGTGACTTCACCTCCTCTTGTGGCGCAGCGACAGCTCATCTTCCATATTGTCTAACTGCATCACGTTGTCAGGGAGGCAACAAGGGGGGAGGTGGCGAGGGAGGGAGGGGGGGACTTCAAAGGCTTCTGTAAACAAACTCTCCGGTGAGAAAAAGAAGGAGAAGAAGAAAAACTAAAAGTGGACTTTTTTTTCTCTGCTCTTGCTGGTTGTCTATTAACTTTTAATTGCATTGTGTGTCGCGGTGACAGATGTGGAGACGTCCCCTCGTTCAGAGAGATAACTAAAGGTTCATTAAGCAAACAGGACACAAAGCAACTGAGAAATGTTTATTCCTGTGTTGGGGGGGGGGGGCAGCGGCTGCAGTCAGCTTCCTGCCTCGCGTCCTATTTCCTGGGCTTGACATTTGTACATAATGGAAAAAAAGCAATTCAACCGTTTTTTGATAAGAACAGAAAATCAAGCACACAAAAAAAAGTGGGCTTTAAAGTGAGAGAATGTTATTTAATTGAAGTGAAAAGTCGATGTCGCTGCTTTTGACCGGCTCGCCAGAATAAAATGTGACGGTCAGCGACCGTACAATGAAATCCGTTTTATTACCGAGAGATTGTGCTGCTGTGTTTTGTGGTTGATTGTCTTTGTTTTTTTAACACATTGGTTCTTTCTAAAGTTAAAAAAGTCTTTCAATGTTTAACAGTTTTGAAAAGGAGAATAGTTCGGTAGCTTTTCATTCACAAAAAGCAGGTAAGTACATTAAGTTATAAATGTAGCTTTGGAGATTAAAAACATAAAAGTATAGAAAACGTTTTGATAAATGCTTAAAGCCTAAATTATACTTTACTTTAAGGACCTTTCTAATTTTCTTTGATCCGGCCCTTAAAGGTGCTAAATATCTAATTGCCTCCACACAGCTCTCCATATGGCGTTGGTTGAGCAGCTAACGGTGCTAACGGCGCTAACAGCGCAAATAAAGGCAACAGCGCTGACGGAGCTAACAGTGTCAACCTGTTCCGAGACAATGGCGTCATTCGGGACGCTGTTATCAGCTGACAGCAGTGCAGTACATTATTCCACTATATCTTTACTAGTGCTGGGCAAGTTAACGCGTTATTATCGCGTTAACGCATTCATTAATTAACGCCGACAATTATATTATCGTGCGTTAACGCAGTTTTTTATTTATTTATTATTAAGCCACATTTTTAACACAAGAACCAGGCAGCAAGCAGTGAACAGCTGTGTTCATGTGGCGTCACTTCCTTCTCCCCCCGGGTCCAGAACCCCTCCTACACTCCGTCACCGTCCTTCACTCTTGTCTCACAAACACACACACACGCGAGCGCGATCGTCTCGTTACAGATCAAACGTGACTGTTGTGAAGTGGAGCTTCTCGTGAGGAAGACACGTCTTGTTTGAACGCAACACTTTACTGTCTGAACTGCAGTGTTACAGTGAACACAACGCGCTCTTGCACCCGACATGTGGTTTTATACGTATCATCATTGTTAGCGCCAAGAACACGTACCTTCTACTTCCTGTCTCTTCAAAGTAAAAGCATTTCCGTTTTCATGCTCTTCACGATAAAAGTAAATCATGCAATCAAACAATTTACAACAGTGACAATATTAAAATACATATTGTCGAGATTTTAAAGTGTTTTGTTTGTAATATGTATAATAAGCATCATTTAGTTATCGCTACTGAGAATTTAACAAACATAAAAGCATGACGTAGATATGTTTGCAGTTTTCAAGGTGTATATTTAAATATCATCTCTTACACACATGAAGATAAAGTTATGAACACCGGCTGAATATCTATCAGAATCAGAACTATTATAACTGCTGCTGTGTAAAGGGAATACTGCTGCTAACAATAACCTGATGTGTTTAAAGTGTTTGCAAACCAAATGTTATTGCCCTTTTGTTCATATAGCAGTACTTTTAAAATAAAAGTCCACAATACACTACTTTTGAATTCATTATTGAATTTTGCCATAACAATGCGATTAATCGAGATTAATCGCAAAAAATCCACTAATAGCACTAATCTTTACATAAACAATAGTTTGGTGGTATTTTATTAGCACCTTAAAGAGTTCCTCAATAGAGAACAAAAGTGTCTTCAACTTGGTTTTAAAGGTAAACAATTCTGATGAGCTTTACAGTCTCAGTTTGCTTCAGATAAACTAGTTCGCTCCACCACACCAAAAGGAGGATCACTAAAATCATAATTGTTTGTCACTTGCAATTGCCACCAAAAATGTTTTTCAAAAGCTCACTAATGCCCAGTTTTCATTATTCAAACTGAAGGCATTTATTCAAAAATACAAATATTCAGTGCAAGAGATGACACAGCCAGCCAGAGACACAACCGGTTACACAAAGCGAGTCTGTCTTCATGTCTGTTTGTGGACCTAAATGGACAAATTCTGATCCGGTGCCTTTGTGGGAACCTGGATTGTGGTGTGGTTGGACCGGTATTTCACACACTGGCTCTTCTTCTTCTGGCTCCTAAAGATTTACAAAAATTGGGCGCCCAAAATGCTGTTGGACAATCCAACCAGACCTCTAATTGGTTAACTGGGTTCATGTGGTGAAAGAAATCAGAGACTCATGTATTTGTTGTCTGTCCTTTGCAGGTGTCGGCCACAGACCCGGACCAGGAGGCCGACCAGACCGCCCTCCGCTACTCCCTTCACGGCCAGGGCGCCGCTGGCGAGTTCACCATTGACGAACGCACTGGAAGAATCTACGCCCAACGGCGCCTGGACCGCGAGGAGCGCCCGGCCTGGAGATTCCTCGTCCTCGCCACAGACGAGGGCGGGGCGGGACTCACGGGATTTGCCGACGTGCTGCTGGAGGTCACGGACGTCAACGACAACGCGCCCTTCTTCCCGTGCCCGGCGCTGGAAGTAGACGGATGCTTCCTCGGCCAGGTGCCTGAAAACTCCCCCGCCGACACCTCCGTCATGGAGATGCGCGCCATGGACCTGGACGACCCCAACGAGGGCAAGAACGCCGCGCTGACCTACAGCATCATCAAGAACGTCCGCAACGAGATCAACCTCAACCTGTTCTCCATCAACGCCAGCACGGGGACCATCTACACGGTGCTGCGTTCGCTGGACCGGGAGGTGGAAGAGCGGTATCTGGTCGTGGTGGAGGCCAGGGATGGAGGGGGTCTGGCGGGAACAGGGACAGCCACCATCACGGTTTCGGACGTCAACGATCACCCACCCGTCTTCACTCAGAGGCTCTACACCACTCAGGTGAGTCCCACGAGGCGAGGCGAGCTTTCGCACCTCAATGTAAAGACGTGAATGGACGCGAGTTGAGGCAAATTTGCGCCGGGTGGCACGAATGAGACATTTACATGAAATTCACCTCATTCGAGTTCAAATATTTTAGCAGGAAGCTGTGTCATTAAAGCTCTGAGATGAAAGATATTTGCTTGTCGTCTTGTGGAGACAACTAACAAAACATGAATTCAGACTTTTTACAAATCCCCATCATTATGTAGTTATTTCGGTGTCCCTTTTTATCCGTTTATAGCAATTAAATTACAGCAAAATAGTTTATTTTGGGTTCATTCATCTGAAGTAAACCAGCCGACGTGGTGTTTGGTGTGAGCTGAGTATTACCATAATAGGAAAGTATAAAAAGTCATCATCTCGACTTCCTTATCTTGTGTTCAGGTGACAGAGGACCTGGAGGTGAACAGCGAGGTTCTCGTTGTTTCGGCCACGGACGGAGACGAGGGAGAGAACGCCGTGGTGACCTTCAGCATCGTCGGCGGCAACGAGGACAGGAAGTTCTTCGTGGAGACGGACAAAGTGAACCGCCGCGGCGTGATAAAGCTCAAGAAAAAGGTCGACTTCGAGAAGCCCCGTGAGAGGACTTTCAATCTGACGCTGAAGGCCGAGGACGCCGATTTCTTCAGCCTGGCCCACTGTCTCGTTCAGGTGGAGGACGCCAACGACCACGCGCCCGTGTTTCTACCGCAGTTCTACGAGTCCCCGGCCATGTCTGAAGACGTACCTGTGGGGACGATCGTAGCTCAGGTTACGGCGTCGGATCTGGACTCGGCCCAGAACGGACGCTTTTCTTACAGCATTTCAAAGGAGTCGGACCCCTACAGTCAGTTTCTGGTGGACCAGTCCGGTTGGGTGGTGGTGGCCGACTCCCTCGACAGGGAGAAAATCTCGCAGCACCGGATCATGGTCCTCGCCACGGACGCCGGGAGCCCGCCCATGACCGGCACCGCCATCGTCATGATAGCCGTGCTGGACATTAACGACAACGGGCCGGAGTTCGAGGTCCCCTACAGGCCCGTCGTTTGGGAGAACGCGGCGGCGCCCCAGGCGGTTCGAATGAACGACACCTCCTTACTCCTCCACGCCACCGACCGGGACACCTCCACCAATGGCGGGCCGTTCTCCATCCGGCTCCTCGCGCTCACCTCGGACGCCACCAACTTCAATCTGACGGACTTTCGGAACGGCAGCGCGGCCGTCACCGCCCTCCGGACCTTCGACCGCGAGCGGCAGAAGGAGTACCGCCTCCTGATTCTCATGATTGACAGCGGCTCTCCTCCGATGAGCTCCACCGGCACGCTGACGGTCGTCATCGGGGACAGGAACGACCACCCTCACTCCCCGGGACACACGAACTTCATCGTCTACAGTTATGAGGGTATGTTTTTATGTTGTGTTACTTTGGGTCTGTGTCGGGATTCTACATGAAACCATATAACTTGAGCTCTGCATTGGTGGCCGATCAGTTCATTGCTTTGTGAGATAATTCTCCCTGCAGAAACTGGACAACACTACAAAATAAGAGTTTCTTAACCTTTTCTGGCCACTGAAACCCGTCCAAATATATCAAAGAGTTACCAAATGAGTGTCTGGCATGAACTTTTGCATTGTTCTCTAAAGAGATTGATGGACGGTTGAACTGTAACCTGCAGTTTTTTAAACTCTGTCCCTCCTCCTCTTCCTCCTCCTCCTCCTCCTCGCGTTGTAAAGACTGTACTCATCACAGTCGACTGCTCGCCGCCTCCCTCTCCATCACTTATTTAGCGTTTCATACCATCTGTCAGCCTCCCTGTAATTTCTCTGGTTTTCTTCATCATGTATTTTTAGTGGATTTCCTCTCCGGGGCCTTTTTTTTTTTTTTTTTTTTTAAACATGAAAGTACATTAAGCGGCTAATACGAATCCATCACGTAGCTCAACAACATGCCATGAAGCAAACAATTAAGTCCCTGGTTTTTGACGAGCACATAAATCAGGAGCCATTTTTAAAAGGCAGCTGATTTCACAGCTAAAGAGATTACAGCGCTGCGTTCAGGAGAAAACTCTGAACTCTAATATGTTTACATCTTCCTGCTGTGCTGTCAAACCATGACAGAGCGTGCCGATGAAGCCACCCTACCTCTTAATATTTAGGTTATATGCAGAACTCTTGACTAATTCCTTTCAAAGCCAACTCATTTTCTGACTTTTTCTTTCTTTTTCTTTTTGGGGTCTTTCTGACAGGTGTTCTCCCGACGACGGCGCTCGGACGAGTTCAATCCCCCGACCTCGACGACTGGAGTGAGAAGGTGTACCGGTTCGAGGGAAAAGCATCCAGGTACATTGATCTCATGCAGTCAAAACTCTGAGGTGGTGATATGCAAAAAACAAAGAGAGTGATGGAGGTGAGAGTGGATGTGGAATCACAAGGTGAGAGGCAGCGACGCAAAGAAAAGTAGAGGGAGGAAGATGAAGTAAAGGTAGAGATATGTCAAGAGATAATAACACAAAGACGGTGAAAGAGGACAAGAGAGAGGACGCAGAAGTCCTTTTTATCCGAGGAAGGTTCCTCACTGAGTGAAAGGACCCGGAAGTATCTGTTTGAATCCTCTAAATGCTGAGGAAAGGTGCTTCAATGCTTCCTTTATTAGCTCCTTTGGCAAAGGAAACACTGGATAATGCCGACCCACAATTCCTTGCGGCGGCAACATTTAAAGTGACGCAACGTTCCATGAAAACAAACAATATGTTTATCTCACAGGTTTAACAGTGATACTCACACAGTCATAAAGTAATGAGATTCATGTTGATGAAGAACAGACAGTGATGATCCTTACATCTAATTTCATAGGTGTTTATGAACTTCAAACATGTAACAAATAAGTAAAAAATACAATAAACAATAAATATAGTGAAGAGTAAATATTGCAAATTATCAAAAAATAAATGATTATTCTCAATAACAAGAAGCATCAGTAAAAATACACAAAAACAAGGTCGGCCTGTGATAAATGAAGCAAAATATATGATCTCCGGTTTCTGTCCTTCACATCTCTCTTTGACCTTGTGACGTTTCCCATAGAGTTCAAGGAAAAGTGGTTAGGAAAGGACGTTAGGAGGTAACGTTTTGTGACTATTCGACCAGGGCCAAAGACAAACACAGGTATAGGTGTTCTTTAAAGAGGCAATCTTGAGGATTTCCTTTTAAATAAACGTCTGTTAAGTCACTATCTGAAGGAGGTATCCCCATGGTGATGAAAGTATTACAATATTTATATATTCGCAGTCTGATAAACTTAGTATCTGTGGCGATGTTCACAAAAAATAATGCTGTTTTACAGTTTTTCTCTTTTGTGTACACACACTTAAAATGAACCCATGCACACAATTCTGAAGATTTAAAGCTCATGAACTCTGAATTATTTTGTTTTTACTCACAAATAAAAATAGTAAATCAAGCAGGACTTAGATCTCAAGTAGAAATTCTTTATTTGGTCAAATGGCAGAACGTGACAGACTGCTGCTCTGGTTGGTTGGTTTTGTGGGATTCTTACATTGAAAAACGTACATCTTGTATGAAATGGGTCTGCTAACTAACGGCTGTTGGCTTTTATGTTTCAATGAGCAGAATACCGAGAGGTCAGAGCACGGATCTACAGAAGAAGCGTATCTCTTAGGTTGTATCTGTCCCTGAGACTTCAGCAACACAAAATACATTTTAACTTCATTGTGTGGGGGGGCGTAGATCTCAAACACCAAACTCTCTAAAGATGGTAGATAGTTGAGAGATTGTGTTGGTGAGAAATTCAGTTTTTTGTATGGACCCATCCAGCCCAGTATCATGGCAGGTCAAGAAGTAGGAAAGAGCTGCAATCTATTGATTTAGTACATGGACACGGACGATGGCAATGGAAAGTCAATTAGGAGCCTTAATTGTGGTGGATGCAGAAATTAAATGCATCTACGTGACAAAGCAACAATCGGAGCAAGTGACGTACTATATAAGATCCAAAAAGATGACTGTTGGTGGGCGGAAGGGGAGGACGGGTCCAACAAACAGGACTTTGACCAGAAGACACCATGTTGTGGTTTATGGTTTTTATTGCTTTTTGTTTTGTTGCCTAAACTTAACGGTACGTAGTTATTTTAAGCCCAGCCACGATGTTTTTCCTTAAGCTAGCTGTTGTTTTTTAACATAACGTTGTCATGAAAAACAAGTCGTGACTAGAAGAGCATTCAGAGAGCACCGACCTCCACGAAGGCCAAACCAGCGTAAAGAAATAATACTATAATATAATAATAATAAAGATCTTCTCCGTGATTCGGATCCCCTCCTAAATGTGATGCGTTCTCACACGGCCAACGCAACACTCTTTTACCAAGTTTCATGAATATCGGACCAGACGTTTTTTCCGTTTCAAACGTAATAAGTGACAAAGTGAGGGTTTAATCTTCACTCGCGAGCGTTTGAGCTCTCCTCTTCGTCACACTGTGAGTACGCGTTGGATAAAAGCATCCAGGTCTTAAAAAGCTGTTTCAGGACGTGTTGCGGCAGAAAAAGATTCCCTCTTAACGTGTTCCCCTCTCATGTGAAGACAAGAAAAGAGGAAAAAGAAAAGAAGCTGACGGATTTAAAATACAGAGAGGAAGAGACGGTACAGAGGTGCGTGGTGACAAAGAGGAGAAAGGAGAACGAGGACAGAGAAGGCAGTTTGAAGGCAGAAACAAAGACGGAGTGAAAGAGAATGAAACGTCAGAGGAGGGAGAGATGCAAGGAACAGTGCTATTAATACTTCATAACCAGCGGTATTGAACATTCCCAGTGAAGTGCGGCGAGGGTTGTTGCTCGTTTTGTTTGATGAGGCTGAGGCTTCATGCGGACGGCGTTGAAAGGAGAGCCTGATTGCGCCTCCCTGCCACCACCTCCTCCTCTTTAACGAGACACCTGTGAGGAAAAGGGAACGCTGAGAACAAAGTAACTGCCACGAGGATTACGCATCCAGAAACCAGGGCAATTTGTTTCACAGCGTGCATCGAGGGGGGGGGCTGCATGTTATTTACATGTAGATACAAGCAATGAGAGAGCAGGTGATGTGAAGCCACCGCCCCCCCGAGGGCCGAAAAGAAACCAACACGGTGCATGTCAATAGCAGATACCTCCTGTTTGTTTGGGATTGATCCAAAGCCAAAGCTTCATGTCTTAAACTGCATTCTCTCTGCTGTCCACCAGGGGGCGACTCCTCTGGTTGTATAGAAGTCTATGAGAAAATGACTCTACTTCTCTCTTGATTTATTACCTCAGTAAACATTGTAAACATGAGTTTATGGTCTCAATCTCTAGTTTCAAGTCTTCTTCAATACAGCATGATGTTCATTTAGTACATTATGGTCCATTTAGAGTCACACAGACCATAAAGCAGGGGATGCTTTAGGGCAGAGACGTATATGGCGTCTCTGTCACTCCTCCTCAGTCCAGATGTGGTCACTTCCTGTTCACTGGTTGCAAAAAATCAAGATGGCAACGGTTAAATATACCGAACTCAAAGCTTCAAAACTTCAGTCCACAAACCAACGACATCATGACGACTAAGTCCACTTCTTATATACAGTCTATGTATATATATATATATATGTGTATATATATGTGTGTGTATACATACATACATACATACATACATACATACATACATACATACATACGTGTATGTGTGTGTGTGTATACATACGTGTATGTGTGTGTGTGTATATACATATGTGTGTGTGTGTGTATATACATACATGTGTGTGTGTGTGTGTATATACATACATGTATGTGTGTGTGTATATATACATACATGTGTGTGTGTGTGTGTATATACATACATGTATGTGTGTGTGTATATATACATACATGTGTGTGTGTGTGTATATATATATATACATGTGTGTGTGTGTGTATATATATATATGTATATATGTGTGTGTGTGTATATGTATATATGTGTGTGTGTGTGTGTGTATATGTATATATGTGTGTGTGTGTGTATATATATGTATCATAAATCTATATAATATATAAAATATATATAAAAATATTAAATAAAAAATTATTAAAAATATTACATTTATGTATACGAGTAGTACAGAATATTACATCCATTTAAAAAAAAGTGCAATATAAATAAATATATAACAAATATTTATACTATACTAGTATATACTAGTATTTTTATATGAATACATATTTATATATATAAATACATATATAGATATAAAAAATATTACATATATAAATAAATAAATATATTTAAAGTTACATCTAAATATATGAAAATCAATAAATATATATAAAATAGTATGTATGTATATATATATATGTATATATCTCTGCTAATCTTCCTGAGGTCCACAGAAGGGATAAAACGTAATACATACAAAACATGACGCGTTATTAAATCTTCTGTCTCCGTCTCCCCGTCAGGTTGTTTGGTCTGAACCTGACCTCAGGTGAGCTCAGTGTGAGGGAGGGGGCTCCTCCCGGCTCGTACCGTCTACAGGTGAGCGTGTCGGACCTCACCTGGCCGGACGTCACCTCCACGGCTCAGGTGGAGGTGAGGGACCTGCAGCCGGACGTCCTGAGGAACGCCGCCTCCCTCCGCCTCACCAGTGAGTCCTCCTCCCTCTATTTCTTTCTGTCTTTCCTTACTTCCTTACTTCGTTCTTTCTTTCTTTCCTTCTTACCTTCCTTCCTTCCTTACGTATTTCTTTCCCTGTTTCCTTCTTTCCTTCCTTACTTCTTTCTGTCTTTTTCTCATCTTATTATGTATTATTGTTGTCATATTATATTTTGTCTCTCTGCCCTGCTGATGATTTATCCTGAAGTTTTGTGAAGCGCTTAAATAACTCTGTTCTCCTCTTCCTCTTCCTCCTCCTCCTCCTCCTCCTCCTCCTCCTCCTCCTCTTCCAGACATGACGGTGGAGGAGTTCTTCGCAGGAGGAGGCGAGGAGAGTCTCTTCTCTCGTCTGGGTCGGATGTTGTCTGAACTCCTTCAGACTTCTCCGCTGAGTGTTCAGATCTTCTCTGTGAGCGACGCCGGGCGGCGAGGAGCGAAGGAGCTCAACGTTTGGTTTGCTGCTCGCGGTTCAACGTTCTACAAGAAGGAGAAGCTGCTCGGATACGTGGCAGCAAACAGAGCTCAGGTGAGCAGATGTGCTGAACGGAGTTAATGGAGGTTTTCAACAAGTACGGCAACGTTTGATTTATTGTTAGTTGAACCTGAACGCCGGCGAAGTTCAGCTCGTTGTTTTCATGTTGTTAAAACATTTATTCAAATAAACATTGTTTAAGGATACAGAACTTAATTTTAACATCTAGTGACGATCCCAAAGTTTATGTCCAAAGATATAAAAACATCTGATAAGTTATGTGAAGTGTTGAAAAGACGTTATTTGATAATGTCAAAAATGTAAAGGAGAAGTCAAGACTCAAACATTTTAAATAGATCTGCTAAATGTACTTTTCCTGAAAACATTTAAAATATTCTGCTCTTATGATAAAATATATTATCTTAACGAGTTGAGCTCAAAGGAAACTAAATAACAAACATTCCTTTAAATACAGAGACAGAGAGGAGGCTTACTGACACACTGTTACACTTCAATTAAACATCACATGCACATGTTTATACATTCATACGTTCACACATGCATACATTTACACATTCATACGTTTATACATGCATACATGCACACGTTCACACGTTCATACGTTCATTTCAGGCACTTAGAGACACTGAAGGCTCACATGTGAGGGGGTGAAACACGTCACAGCTCACTGTACACATGTGGATGAATATTTAACATCCATTAAGAGCACGAGAGCGGCTGCTGACCTGAGGTCAGCTCTGTGAGGGGGGGGTGACATGTCAGTGAACCATGTAAACACACACACACAAACATGGACACACAGACATCTGAGCAAACTCTCAGCTGATTATTTTACCATAAAAAGAATCATAAAACTGTTTTCATGAAAGAGGGAAGACAAAAGAAAAGCACAATTAAAAATAAAGCGAGCTAATTAAAGAAGAAAGACTCACAGACGACACGTCGTTTTCCATCAAAGTGATTTTTGTTTCTCCGCTGTGAGCTCTTCAGTTTCTGCTCGTTATAGGAAGACAGTCTTTTCAAAATAAACTTCCGTCTTCACAGGAAACACTTAGTTATGTTTAAGAGAAGATGGTGAAATACGTGAGTACTAAAACATTAAAACAGTTTAATCCTTTATTGATTTTACTGATGGTTTGATCTTAGCCATCGACTGTTTGTCCGGTTAAAAGAGTGGCGATGCCAAACATGGGTTCCAGTTGTTCTGTGTTTTGTAGTACAGACATCATGCAACATTCTACGGACTAAACGATCAATCAATTTACCTTAAAAGATATATTACAATGGAAATCATTTAGAAATGAGTTGGAGTCCTAATATACATCTATTTATATGTAAACCAATACAAAACACTGAAAATCTGCAAATTAAAGAGCAAAAATAAAGTGATTATTGGAGCCAAAAGGTCACAAGTTCAGTTCCTGCAGCCGTCACAGCGTCTCAATCTGTGATGCAACTTATTTAATAAAATATACAAACAAAGTATAAATACCAGAACAAAACACACTCGGTGTGATTAAAAATAAGTCCAACATCAGCTGCTGCAGAAGGAAGGAGCGTCTTTAATTATCTCAGGTTAAAGGCTGAGAAGGAGAATGTCAGATAAATGCAAAATCAGATGAGAAGTGAAGCTCTGCCTCGGGGACTGTAAGTCACCGTGGATGAGAGCGTCGGCAGAAAGAAAAGAGCTGCACACAGTCAGAGAGAGACAGGAACCCCCGAGGGACAACGATGAAAGACCTCCTCACCCTTAAAGACAAAACGAGAGAGTCGAATGAACGACAGGAAGGGAAACGGGAGAATGACAGCAGAACTTCAGCGGGGTCGAGGAAGACAAAGAAACATGAAGACATCAACGTTAAGAGGAAAAGAGAAAAGCTCAGAACTCATTGATGCAGCTCGACATGGGATCAGAGAGCTGCTGCTGTCCTCCGTCACGTTCAAACAGCGTGTTCGTTTACTGTTTGTTTATATTCTACATTCACCAGAGATTTATCTTTAACAGTAGCATTTTATAATTGTATGATCTTAATTAGTTTTTTGTTTAATCCGTTGTTAGTTTATGTTTCTTTAAGTTTGGTTTTATTCTATTTAATCCTAGTTTCAGTATCTCTGAGTTCATGTTTCTTAATTTTAGTTCCATTTATCTTTTCTAGTTTTAGTTTCTGATAGTTTCTTTTTATTTCAGTTGAACTTTGTTTTAGTTTAGTTTCAGTAATGAACTGTGTCCTTTAATCCCAGTTTATGTTTCTTTTAGTTAGCTTTATGTTCAGTTAGTCTTGTGTTAGATTTCCGTTACTTCTAGTTTTATTTCCTGCATATTTTAGTTGCATTTACTTTTGATCTAATTGTATTTTCGGGCTCCATTTAGTTCTGTTGGCTTCGTGCTATCCTAGCTGCTGATGTACTACATCTCCCCCCCCCTGCAGCTGGAGGCCATGTTGGGCGTGTCCATCTCTCAGGTGGCCGTTGATGAATGTCTCTTCAGCGACTGCAGTGAGTCTGGCGGCTGCAGCAGCGAGCTTTCCTTCAGCCAGACTCCCGAGGCTCTCAGCGCCGGCGACACTTCTCTGGTGTCGCTGGCGGCCTCGTCGACGGCTCGATGTGGCTGCCGGGGCCGAGAGGCCGTCCACCTGCCGTGCTCCGCCTACGCCTCCAACCCGTGCCTCAACGGGGGGGCCTGCCAGGACGGACCGCTGGGATACAGGTACGGGTGTACGGGAACCCTCTGAATCTGGTTCTGTACATGTATACAGCTCATTCACTATATATATGTATATACTGTGTGTATATATATATATATATAGTGAATGAGCTGTATACATGTGTGTATATGTATATACATGTCCAAAGAATGATCTTAGAACCTGGAGAATATCAACTCATATCACACATGTTCTAAAATGAACATGATCGATGTAGATTAATGTTTACATGAGCGGAAAGATTTCTCCCTTTGTTGCAGCATTTTATTGGTTTTAATATCGAACGCAACGCCTCAGCTGCTAAATGTGACGGATGGTTCGCTCTCTTTTCTCTTTCTTCATTTCAACTCGACAGTTTCTTTCAATTCACAGTGTTTTCTGTCAAGGTGTTTGGGGGGATTTGGTCTCTCGGGTCATTTTAATTAACGTTGCCACGTCTGAAAAGTATTTTTCGACAGCATCATGAAGCTTCAGATAGAGACCGGGAATGTCGAGGTCACGTTCTCACTCTTCTGTTCGTGGATTTAAGGAACCTGCAGAAAAACATTCCTACAGTTACACACAAAATCACACTTTTCAGACTCAATATAACTAGAATGTATTTTAAAAATACTGAATAACATCAGAATATAATGAATAAAGGGAGTTTGTATCCTGTCAGTGTGAGAAATAAAGCTTTGGATCATTTAGGGAGATAACATTGACAGAAACTAGTAAATAATATGGAACAAAATGTTTAAATAAGATTTAAATGTATAACTTCAGTATTTTTCTATGTCCTGATGGTTCATATCCAAAAACCAAGACTCGGTTTCTTTTGTCCCTGCAGTTAAAAGTATTTGAGATGATTTATTTATACTTTCCAACATATTAAATGAACTCTTTCAGCCTGTTGCTGTCTTTAGAAGCTGGTACTAATATTTAAAGATGCTCAACTTAACTCAAACTGCTAAATAAATACATGAAGAATCATGAATCATGAGTCGATCGCATCATCAAATAAACTGTTTGTGTCTCTCAGGTGTGATTGTCCGTCCATGTTTGACGGGCCCGAGTGCCAGCAGACCAAACACAGCTTCAGCGGTCAGGGCTACGCCTGGTTCCCTCCCATCATGCCTTGCTTCCAGAGCCACGTCTCCCTGGAGTTCCTGGCTGAGTCGGCCAATGGGCTGCTGTTGTACAACGGGCCGCTCGGCCCCGCCCACTCCGGGGAGCAGGAGGACTTCATCGCCATAGGTGAGTTTACAGGTTTTGTGTTTTGATCATACAGTTATTCTTAATTAAGAACGGTATTTAACTGTAATTTGTACAGGTGTCTCTGCCTCTCTGGACTAAGTACTTCAGGTTGTTACACTTGAGTTTGATGGCAAAATCATCTCCAAATAACTGCATTACATCTTAATAAATCAAAGAGCAAAGGTTTCTTATCTAGAGCCAAAACAGAGACCAAGTTCTACACAGAACACCTGCAGAAAATGGACCACAATGCAATGCAGCTGCAACTTTTTCAACGCAATAAATGAGCTGTAATTCGTAGATATCCAATGAAATCAATTCAAATTCAACAAACAAAAAACAGGCGTGTTCATGACGTAAATCCCGTATTTAAGTATTCCAACTTCCGTAGTTATTTTAACCCCAACCTCCATCTCTTCCTAAACTAAGTATTTTACGATCTTTTTCATAAACCTAACAAAGTATTTCACGATCTTTTTCATAAACCTAACGAAGTATTTCACGATCTTTTTCTAAACCTAACGAAGTATTTCACGATCTTTTTCTCAAACCTATCGAAGTATTTCACGATCTTTTTATTAACCCTAACGAAGTATTTCACGATCTTTTTATTAACCCTAACGAAGTATTTCACCATCTTTTTCTAAAACCTAACGAAGTATTTCACGATCTTTTTATTAACCCTAACGAAGTATTTCACCATCTTTTTATAAAACTAACGAAGTATTTTTGTTGTCTAAACTTAACTAAGTTGTTTCCTGTAAAGACGGAGGTTTTATTTTGAAAAGACTGTATTCATGTAACAACCAGAGGAGTCGCCCCCTGATGGACATGAGAGAGAATGCAGGTTGTCGTCTGTGTGAAACCCTTTGTTAAAAGTTAAAACATGATATTAAACTTCTCTCACAGACTCTCTCAGTGCTGCTCGTCCTCCATCAACACAAAGCGTGAATCAATGCTGTCGCTGTGAAGAGAAAAGAGCTCCATAAAAACGCTAATGTCAGCTCCCGGCGGTCCTCGCGTGGTGTTGACGGATTAGACCGCTGATGGCTTTTCTCAATAAACGGCTCTTGCATAATCTCGCTCCATTAAAGTTATGTAATCATTGAACCAAAGGGGGGGGAAATCAAAGATGGCCGCAGCATTGATCACAGAGAAGCATTTTTCACTTACATGTTCAATAACATGGCCGTGAGGTTGATGGGGTCACACACACACACACACACACACACACACACACAATTGACTGAGTGGACTCAGCAGCTCACACAGAGAAGTGATGTTTCAGCATCATGTTAATCTTTCAGGTCTTGTTTTTATATTTCGTCTTTATTATTATCTTTTAGCCAACTCCATTTGTAGAATGAAGACCGTGACGGATCTGAATCCTATAATAATAATAACAATAATAATAATTTTATTTATAGAGCACCTTTAAAAACAGAGTTTACAAAGTGCTTTGAGAGACAAAGCAGCAAAAGCAAAACAATAATAACAATAACAGAAAGATCAGTGAGACAGTCGATACGATACAAATAAAGTGAGAAATTAAATTAAATGAAATTAAATAAGATAAATTTAATTAAATAATTTAGTAATATAATTTAGTGAAATTGACGACATCACATCACTTTTGTTCTAAAAGGTTCAGGAATGACTATATATATATATTTTAAAACCAGACCAAAGGGCACAAACATAGTCAGAGCTCTTTTTAGTAAAACTTTAGTACGCCTCTGAAATACCTGGTTAACTTTAAATATTGTGGTTTAGATATAAATAAGTACATAAGTGACGTTACTTAAGCACAGAAGTTACAAATACTTCGTTGACTTGTGGTTTCACACAGGACACGAACGGCGGTCTTCTTAGTGAAAGTCTTGTGTTTTAGTTTTTATCACAAAGTCGTTATAAAGATACATTTATTGGGGAAAGTATAAAATGTGCAAGCTTGCATTAGAAGTGTCAGCACAATGCTTTTTAAATCATAACATTAATAAATACATAGCATATCAAATTCCTTTATTGTACATCCGTTGAAGGACGCGTAGCATTAATGAAAAGTTTACATAAACAACAACATATGATGAATGATGAATAACAATAGTTCAGAAATAATACGTTAGATCAGCTCAGAGAACACGGATAGAAAAGTAAGATTCTCCTGCTCCCCTCCAGAGTTGAGGAACGGGGTTCCGGTTCTGAGCATAAACCACGGATCAGGAGCGCTGACCCTGCAGCTGCCGGCGAAATCCACCGTGACCGACCGGCGCTGGCATCGCCTCGACATCGTCAGCGACGGAAAGGTACGACTGATAATATAATAACTTTGTCTTTTAAAAAGGTTTCAGTCCAATATAGATTTATTACCCGATGCAGTTTCATATGTTTATCATTTATTTTTACCCTCTGAGGTCTTTATGTTCCCTTCAAAATAAAAGTCCTGCTCCTCTATGAAACAGAACCATCATGACTAGAAGTAGAGAACTAGAACATGTCTTTAGTGAGAACAACAGTTATGATGACATCAATCATTAACAGAAAACAAGCAAGTTGAATTTCTTTGATAATTTATTTTACAAAATTGGCAAATAATAGAATCTATAAATCATTTTATCAAGTGTTATCAATGTTAGAAAAAAATTGAGGCTCTATGTCTACAAATACTAAACTATTCACATGTTTCTCTCCTCTCTCCTCTCTCTCCTCTCTCCTCTCCTCTCCTCTCTCCTCTCATCTCTGTGTTCACTTCCTGTAGTTCAGTCAGAGTGTCTCCTCCTTGTAGTCACATGACTGTTGGTCTCAGATGAATCAATCATGACTTCATAGTTTCACAATTTAATGTTTTTACACAATCTGGTTAAAGTGAACTCTTTATTAGAGGAGAGATTTATAATGACAACATGAAGAATAAAATGTGTGTGTGTGTGTGTGTGTGTGTGTGTGTGTGTGTGTGTGTGTGTGTCTGTGTCCAGGCCGTCCAGCTGATCCTGGACCAGTGTGGGGGGGCGGCGGTGAATGAGCTGGAGGGTGTCGGGGGGGACGGTGAGGAGACTGACGAGTCCAGCTGTAGAGCTGCAGGAGAGACGCCAGGAAACCAGAGGTGAGAACCTGGAGACCCTGGACTACACATTCACATCTCACATAGAAATATAGAAATAATCATATCTCCTCCTCCTCCTCCTCTAACCATTCCCCATTTCATGAATTCTGTTTTTCTCCTCCTTCATCTCTACTTATCTTTCTCCTTTTTTCTTCCAACTTACTCCCTCTTCTCCTACTCCTCCATGTTTCTTGTCACTCCTTTTCTTCTCTCATCTCCTCATGGTTTACTCCTCCTCCTCCTCATCATCATCATCATCATCATCATCATCCTCCTCCTCCTCTCATTTGTTCTGTTCCTCCTCCTCCTCCTCCTCCTCCTCCTCAGGTACCTGAATGTCTTCCAGCCTCTTCAGTTGGGAGGAGTGAAGGAAACTTCTCCTCATCGACGTTACCGCAGCTTCACCGGCTGCATCCGCAACCTGGTGGTGGACAGTCAGGTAACACAGTGTGTGTGTGTGTGTGTGTGTGTGTGTGTGTGTGTGTGTGTGTGTGTGCGTGTGCGTGCGTGCGTGTTTCCATCCCAGAGATCATTAGCATCTCCTCCATGTGTGTGTTTCTTGTTTTTTAAATGTAATATTGATGTTAGTAAGTCTGAATCTGTGTGTTTGTGTATGAATGTATTCACTCTTATTCCCCTCAGTGTGTGTGTGTGTATGTGTGTGTGTGTGTGTGTGTGTGTGCGCGTGTGTGTGTGTGTGTGTGAGCCAAGGCCAACATATAATATAAATGAAGAGCAGCCTCCTCCTCCTGAAACTAAATGAGCTCAACAACCTCCCAAAAACATTCCCCAAGAAACACATCTGCCTCCTTCTACCCACAATCCTTTGCGTGCTGAGGGTTGTTTGCCGGACTTAAGATGGGATCGAGATGTTTTCTGCATTTCAGCGTCTTCAGCTATAAACAAATAACTTCTACATTTGTGCTTTTTCATAATATTTCTTCTTCTGTGGTTTTGGTTCTTTGCTTTGTTCAGATCAGTTTAGTGATTCTGTTTATGATGATGATGATGATGGTTGAAGTCTTCCTCCCCTCCCCCCCTCAGGTGTACGACCTGGCGTCTCCAGGTGAGAGTGTGGACAGCTCTCCTGGCTGCCGGCTGACAGACGGTGTGTGTGTGACGGCGGCCGGCCCGTCCTGCGGCGCTCGAGCCTCCTGCATCGCCGACTGGGGCTCCTTCAGCTGCCAGTGTCACCCGGGCTTCACCGGACACAAGTGTGACAGCGGTGAGGGAGTGTGTGTGTGTGTGTGTGTGTGTATTATTATCATTAGATTCTTGTACTTCTGTCCTAAGTTTAATTGTTGGCTAAACTAACCTGCTCATTCATTTCAATGTACGTTAAGAGTCATGATTCAGAGTTTTTATATTAATATTATCTGGTGACAAAGAATTCATTAAATACGAAAATATAAAGTTTATAAGAAGTGATTCTAGCAAAAGAGTCTGATGGAAAGTTATATTCAGTGTTTATTTATGTCTTAACATGACTTCTTCCTCCTCCTCTTCCTCCTCCTTCCTCCTCCTCTTCCTCCCTCAGCCGTCCCAGAGTTCTCCTTCGACTCGGGCAGCGTTGTGCGTCTCCAGCTCAGAGGAGGTGGCAGCTCTCGCCGTACTAACGTGCAGCTCCTCCTCCGAACCCGCGCCTCCTCCGGCTCCCTGTTCTCCGTGACGTCCCGGGACTCCAGCGAGTACATCGTCCTGGAGGTCAGTAGTCGGTAGACCTTTGACCTTTGACCTCACAGACAAGAGACGCACAGAAGACGTAAACAAAGGTTCTCCTCTCTCCTCAGATCGTGGACGGCCTCCTCTCCGTTCGAGCTAACCTGGGTGACGGTGCTCGCTCCCTGCGCCTCCTCGGTCAGCGGGTGGACATCGGGCAGTGGGTGCTGGTCGGCCTCGGTCGCAACGACAACCTGTTCACGCTAAGGCTGGAGCAGGGGGGGGGGCTGCGGGAGGTCCGGGGCCGACTGGGGATCCGGAGAGAGATTGTTGTTCAACAGGCCGGAGTAACGGTGGGAGACAAGGACGTCTTTCAGGGTGAGGATCTGGATTCTACTGTTATTTATGTCTTTACATGACTTCTCCCTCTTCCTCCTCCTCCTCCTCCTCTCCCTCCCTCCTCTCTCTCCCTCCCTCCTCCTCCCCCTCTTCCTCCTCATATGAATCACATCTAACATATTTACGAGCTTTAAACCGGACCTTCCCCCCCGTCTCTCTCAGGTTGTCTGCGGGACGTTCGTTTTAACTCTCAGGTCCTCCCTCTGGACGGGCGGAGTCAGGACTCGGTGACGGTGCTGGAGAGGCAGGGCGTCACCTCGGGTTGCCACAGCAACGCCTGCAGCAGCCAACCGTGTCGCAGCCCTCTGCGCTGCACCGACCTGTGGAGGAAACACCAGTGCAAGTAAGAGATGCACATTCCTCCCATAGATGTCAATGGGACGTGGACGTAGTCGTGGTAATGTCACCCGTCAGGTTGTGGACGTTTTGAAGCCCATTTGTCCGTCGCCATCTTGTTTGTTTTTTTTGACAACCAGTGAACAGGAAGTGACCATATCTGGACTGAGGAGGAGTGACGTCTCTGGTGTCGACCTGTCAATCACTGTGTAGCCCCGCCCTAAAGCATCCCCTGCTTTATGGTCTGTTTGACTCTAAATGGACCATAATAAGTAAAGAAAGGAAGAAGGAAGGAAATAAATAGAGATGGAAGGGAGGAAAGAACGGGAGGAGGAAAGAAAGAAGGAAAGAAAGAAATCAGCATCGGCTTCACTTTTCAGAACGCGCTGGTGTTATTCTGACGTGTTTGACTCCGTTTCCCAGGTGCCCCGGCGGTCAGGTGACGGTGACGGAGGACTCCGGTGAGCAGCGCTGCGAGCCGTCGCCCTGTGGAGCTTCTTCCTGCCGCAACGGCGGCGTCTGTCAGCCGCTGTCGCCCGACAGCTACCGGTGCCGCTGCCAGGACGGCTTCAAGGGTCAGCGCTGTGAGCTGGGCCTCAGACGGCAGCGGCTGGTCGCCCTCAGCCCCAGCTCCATCCTCGCCATCAGCATGTGTCTGCTCGTCTTCTTCGGTAAGAGCTGAATCTAAAAATACAGAGATTTACTGTCCTCAGTTTCCCTAAATCTTCCGTGTCCTTTTCATATAAAACACATAAAAGTATTTTTCTAAAGGTCAGAAACCATGAAGGATTATTAGTTTATCCGTTAAATAGTTAAACTCTGAATGTGATGTGAACTCGTCTCCTCTTGTTCTGAACTCGTGTCACAGTTTGCCGATCAATCCTTTTTTTTCCATTCTCATCGATCAGTGAAGTCACAGAGTTACGTAAAGTCTGGACGTCGTGATGAATTAAAGGGACAGTACTGAACCAGAGCCAGACTCCATTCACTGAAACACTGATTCTACCTCTCAGGACTCAGGAGCTTCAGTTTGTGTTATTGTGTCACACAATAAAACTGTAAACATTCAATCAAACTTTATTCGTATTGGCACCTTTCATACAATGTGGTTATAAAAAAAATGTAAAATGAACAATTTGAGAATACAGAAATACACGTGAGACACTAAAATGATCAAATGTAATAAAACAGAAATAAAAACTATAAAATAAGATAATCCTTTAATGTGCAGGATGACAGCAGCAGAGTGGAAAGTGAAACAAGAGAATAAACACAGAAGTACAATAAATAGTAATAATAAATAAGCAAATTGCAAAACAAACAATAAAAGCTAAAAATACAGATAATACACATTATTGCAATCATGATAACATTAGAAAAACAACATGAAATAAAATGAATAACATAATAATATCAGAACAATCCCTTTAAGACCACCAATGGTATTTTTCATTTCCCCACATTAAGACTTAATTTCCCATCAGCCCTCTCTCTTCCTGGCCATCCCTGAAGAGGACACACATTTAAATGAGGGTTTTGGAAGCTTCTTGAAAAACACGCTGGCTCACCGAGTGAAAGATGTTAAAGATTCTCGTTCCACTAACGTGTTATTCTCCCGTTTACAATAATTATACTAAATAACTGACTTACATTGAGGCCAAGTGACTCCACAGAGCAGCTTCAATGAGCTGCTGCCTCAAACGTACAGGAAGGAAGTGAAATGTGTCCCGGTGGTGCACATTTACACACATTAATACTGTCCTGTGTGTGTGTGTGTGTGCGTGTGCGTGTGTGTGTGTGTGTGCGTGCGTGCGTGCGTGCGTGTGTGTGTGTGCGCGCGCGTGCAGCGGTGCTGGTGGCGGTGACGGTGTGGAACCAGAAAGGCAGCCGTAACAAGTTCAGGAAGCGAGGAGTTTACCACATCCCGGCAGAACACGAGAGCTGGGAGGACATCCGAGAAAACATCCTCAACTACAACGAGGAGGGGGGGGGCGAGCAGGACCAGGTACACACATACAGACACACACACACTGAGGACGACGTTGTGCTCTTTACATAACAGCTTACTTTTATAAAGAAAAGGAAAGACCCTGCTCGCTTTATGAAACTAGAACATTTTGTTGACCGACAGAATCAGAATGTTTTTATGTACAAGCAAAAAAAAACACAGTAAGAAAAAAGTAGAACTTGTGTACTTACGATCTTTTCTTAAGATAACTAAGTATTTTACGATCTTTTCTTAACCTAACTTACTTTTCTTAAACCAAACAAAGTATTTTACGAACTTTTCTTAAACCTAACTAAGTATTTTACGAACTTTTCTTAAACCTAACTAAATATTTTACGTTCTTTTCTTAAACCTAAGTATTTTACGAACTTTTCTTAAACCTAACTAAATATTTTACGATCTTTTCTTAAACCTAACTAAGTATTTTACGAACTTTTCTTAAACCTAACTGAGTATTTTACGAACTTTTCTTAAACCTAACTAAATATTTTACGTTCTTTTCTTAAACCTAACTAAGTATTTTACGAACTTTTCTTAAACCTAACTAAATATTTTACGATCTTTTCTTAAACCTAACTGAGTATTTTACGAACTTTTCTTAAACCTAACTAAATATTTTACAATCTTTTCTAAACCTAACTAAGCAGATTTGAGCAGATTCTCAACTAGCTACCGAGGATCGAATACCACTAACTGTGTGTGTTCCTTCCTTACTTCCTTACTTCCTTCCTTCCTTCCTTCCTTTCCTTCCAGAACGGATACGACATCACGGAGCTGAAGCGTCCTCTGTGCTCCAGTCTGTCTCAGTCCTCGTCCTGCACCACCGCCCCGCTCATCAAATCCTCCCCCGGCTCCCAAGAGGAGGTTCACCCGTCCGGCTCCTCCTGCAGCTCCGGCGCTCCCTACCTCAGCATCCCGCAGCACCACCACCACCAACACCTCCAACACCAACTCCACTACCAGCACGGCGGTGCCAACGGCTACCCCAGCACCGCCACCTACGCCGCTCACGCGTGCCGGGACACGGAGGCGAGCGACGTCCCCACGTCGGTGTCGCGCTCCCGCGTGGACTTTAAAAGCTACGTGGCGCGAATCATCTGGGAGGCGGACAACGACGGTGAGGCGCTGCCACCGGACGCCTACCACGTGTGGTGCGTGGAGGGCTCGGGGTCGACGGCGGGAAGCCTCAGCTCGCTGGGGTCGGCCGCATCACGCAGAAACATTCTCGCTGCCCCCGCCGTTGCCGAGGAAGAGCAGGAGGAGGACGAAGGAGGGTTTGTTTACGACAGGCTGTCGCGGTGGGGGCCAAAGTTCCAGGCGCTGAGTGAGATGTACGATCGGCCCCAGCTGTCCCTCACGTACAGGGACACCGTGGCGTACGTACAGAGGAGCCACAGCCACGAACACCTGCCTCACCACCACCACTAGGGGACGCCACACAACCCAAACACAGCTAGCTCACTGCTAACACACAGCTAACACACAGCTAGCTCACAGCTAACACGGACCAGGAGGGACTTGGGGCTGCGTTCACATCTGAAACAAACCAAAATACATTGTTAAAACATTTTATTTTTATATTGCAAATGTCCGTTAAATTGAATAATGATATTGATGCCCAATTAAAATGAACGGTGCTCTTTTGTTATGCACAATTTAAACTTGGAATTTAATAATAAAAATCATTAATTTTATATTGTCAAGGCCAGATTTACAAACGAGGGCTCCTTGGAGCAAACATGTGATTCAATGTTATTCAAATATTTTGTTTAAACACATACGTTACTCATGAAAATGCACCATTTTGACATCAACAAAACAGAAAGGAAACACAGAAAATATTCTGCTTCTCCTCAACACGTAACTTCATAATAAACCCTGAATTATGTTCTGGATATGTTCACTTATTATTGACCTCACACAGTTTGAGGCTTTAGGAGAAGGTCTACAGATATTTTCTGTTCTTTTTGGTTCATTAAACCTCAGATTAAAGTTCATGTCAGGGAGTTAAAGGAAGCGAGAGGCACCAGAGAAGTAATGAAGGGGAAACAATACACAAAAAAGAAGTAAATGTTTGGTGACGTTTGTTTCTTGTTCAGAAGATATTTTTAAATAAATGGATTATAAATGCAAACATTTTAGAAATATTGAGAAAGAATTAGATTAATCTGAAAGAAAAGTTTTCTTAAGGTGCAATAATATGAAAGAGAGTCACAAAGATGTCCCGCCCACTCAGCCCTGAGGACCAATCAGCTTGCATGGGTGCACAGCAATTGGCTGACACTCAAAATCCTCAGTCCTGATTGGGTGCTGGCTCCTCATTAAAGGCGGGACCAACTATTCAACCTGTAATCAGCCATGAGGAGCAGACAGGAAACTGTGTAGAACAAACGTCTTTAAGTTTAGTTTGAGTTCAGACACAAACAAACTGGTTCAAAGTAAAGAGTTTCTCATTTCTGGTGTATTTGTTTACCCAGAATGCATTTCACACATTTTGGATTTGAACCAGTTTGCTGCAGAGAGACTGTCTTTTTTAAAGATATTTATTATCACGTAGGACAAAGAAAGAAACGGATCCAGAAGTATTTATGATTGAAAAATTACTAATAAACTAAATATTTTTGCAACACAATGACAAATCCTTTCAGCTCTTATTTTTTGTTTGTTAAAAATCCAGCCCACAAAGACACAGATCGTCCCCCTGTTTGTGTTTTGACAAGTTGTCAAATCCCCCAAAAACCTCCAAACATCGATCGTCCGCTGTTGGTGAATCCGACGTGAACGCAGCCGCTCCGTTTCCTCCGTGACGCGTTCAAGGGCTGCAGGTTCATCCTGTGATCTGGATGTTTCTTCATGTAAGAAGAAACAAAACAAGCTGCAGGACAAAAGAAGTTCAGAGTTCAGTGGCTTCATGTACCAGCTTCACACAGGAACACGTCGTCTTTATTTCATTTGTCGGCAGTTTTTGTGGGTCGCTGACTTTTGTTCCTGAATACGTGGACTTTCAGAGTAAAAGTTGACTGTTTTTGGAGGAATATTACCACCGAACTGTGTCTGGAATGTTGTGGGTGACTGAGAGAATAATTCTGGTTCATTTGTTAACAACATCAAGGCCTTGATGTGAATCTTACAAAAAGAACTTCTTCTTTAAGGGCATTTTCATCTGTTTTTTTTTTACCTGCACCCCCACAGTTTGAACTTTGACAAATAAAATTCTCCCAAGGACGAACTTCTCTTAAGAAACACAGATGAACCTCCAACGAACACAATAACCAGCTTTTACGGTCCTCTTTTCTACCTTCCTGTTGCACTAGTGGACTGTTTCGCCAGTAAAAAAAAAAATGTTTGAGAAATAAAAGCTGCTTGTGAGCTCACCGGGTGAAACACCTGGTGGTGTGTCCGACATGTAGAATAAGATAGTATGGATTTCAGGTGAGAGAATATTTTTATACTGCCTTGTAGAAACCTTGTGGGTCGTGTTAGCGTGCTGGGTGGCGTGTTTTAGTTTTTGTTATTCGGACGTTAAAGTTGAGACGAGTTCATTGAGCCAGAACAGACCAGAGAGAATAAATACAAACCACTTGTTTCAGCTGAAAACCAATGTGGTATTTAGAAGTCAAAGTATTTCAATTCTACATATTGTGGTTTAAACTTGCACAGCGACTTCCTTCCATTGGTTGAAACACGACCTTCCAGTGGACCACCACGGGACGGTGAGAGGCAAATAATGTATTTAATGCAGTTTAAATTGTACCATTAATTACACATATGATGTTTGTCGATTTAAAAGATAACTTTGCTCGTTAAGAAAGTTGCAATTTTTCGTAAAGCGGTTGAAGTATAAGACTGAAAATACGTAATTAGAGAGACGACACACCCAAAAGTGACCTTTCTCTCTGAAACTACGATGTCTGTGTGTTTAGTATGTTCTCACTACAATAACGAGGTCTCACTCGCTCTTTATCTTCCTGATAAAAAGAGTCACTAAGATAAAACACATCAGCTAAGATAACGTTACCTTTGGAACATAGCTGAGTTAGCTAGCTAGCTAGATAACATTACCTTTGGAACATAGCTGAGTTAGCTAGCTAGATAACATTACCTTTGGAACATAGCTGAGTTAGCTAGCTAGCTAGATAACGTTACCTTTGGAACATAGCTGAGTTAGCTAGCTAGCTAGATAACGTTACCTTTGGAATATAGCTGAGTTAGCTAGCTAGCTAGATAACGCTACCTTTGGAACATAGCTGAGTTAGCTAGCTAGCTAGATAATGTTACCTCTGGAAGATAGCTGAGTTAGCTAGCTAGATAACGTTACCTTTGGAACATAGCTGAGTTAGCTAGCTAGCTAGATAACATTACCTTTGGAACATAGCTGAGTTAGCTAGCTAGCTAGATAACGCTACCTTTGGAACATAGCTGAGTTAGCTAGCTAGATAACGTTACCATTGGAACATTGCTGAGTTAGTTAGTTGTATAATTCACGACACAATTCAAACGGGTTCCAAAAATGATGTTTCTCGATATTTATTATTGTACATATATTTTCCAAAATAAAGTCCTGTGGTGGTCCAACGGAAGGGGGTGGGACTTCGGCACTCTATTAGTGAAGAGTAGCCATTAGCCTTTCAATTAGCATACACATAGCTAGTGCTAGTGCTAAAGGCTAGCATGCACATATTCCAGCCTTTCATGTAAACTCAAATTCATAAATGTTTATATGAGTTTATACTGTATTTTGTCAAAATAGCACTCTTTACAGTACTCTCACCTAACCATAACAACAGTCAGCATGCTAGCAATTAGCATTAGGGATTAGCACTAGCAATTAGCTTCAGCTAAATTAAACACAGTAACGTCCCGCTAAATGATAAAAGTTGATGTTTTTTTCACTATAGGTACTTCAACAAAAAAACTCTCTTGTCAATAAAGTTATTTAATCACAAAACTGTTGAGGAAGCACAAAACAAACTCAAGTTTTAATTGTCTGCAGGTCCAGATTTGAGAACGTACACGATCCGATGACTGCAGGACAATGTTTTCAACACAAACTCCTGATTTTATTAAAGATGAATTCACATTATTGCAGAATATTTGGGCTCTTTATGACCTGTTTTGATCGTTTTGATTAACAGGCCAAATTATTTGCAAAGTATATATTAAAAGTAAAGTTATCAAATAAGTGAGTAAAAAGTACAATACTTCCCTCTGAGATGTATAAAGTAGCAGTACAAGTACCTCAAAGTAGGTAAATATACCAAGTTACCCTTAAAATCAGTGATTCTGTGTTGCTCTCAGCTTGCAGATTGATTTCCACTTGAATTCAGTCTTCTTTTCATTAAATGCAGTTCTTTGCTTTGCTGTAAACCTTTATTTTGCCGGTTTGTTAGAACGTCTAGCTGAAGGTAACATTAAGGACCAAAAAAGATGCGTTTTTAACATGTTTTCCTTCCACCGCTTTCCAAACAACCAAATTACAGAAAGACGATGTGACCTTTGTGTTTCCCAGCCTACCTCGCAGCTCCGCATGTTGTCATTACACCGCCTGATGAATGTAGTTTTATTCGTACGTGTAGAGAGGTCTAAGGGGTCTAAGGGGTCTAAGGCTGGCCGAGAGTACAATCAGAGAGTTTAGTATAAACTCTGTTATTTGATAAAAGTGAGTCTTTACTTGAGCAGAGCGTCACTCAATCCTCGGACGACAAAATGCCAACACAGGCTAAGAAATCCAGATGTTTTAATGTTTTTTTTTTTTTATTTCTCTTCAGGTCAGTCAGTCGTACAGTTTTCTCTTCTGGTACCTGGATTTCAAAATAAAAGCCCTGAAAAGAATTGTACTCAAAGCTATGCATCCAAATGGAATAACACAGGTGTCTTTTTCTAAACTCATGTGAAGCTTTTGACGTGTGACACATCAGGTGTTTGTTTAAATCCAGAGCTTTTAAAGCAGTTCAGTGTGTGTGTGTGCGTGTTTGACAGAGTGAGTAAAGTGTCATTCAGCACTGTTGATCTGTGTGATACGATGTACATATGGACGTTTTATAGCATCCTAACATGGAATATTCCTTTTGTATATGACTTTTAATAAAAACTGCTTTTCCCCCAAACCTTTGCGTCGTTGCTCTTTTGCTCAGTTTAGGTTTCAGATTTAGAGGAAGAGAAGAAGAAATGTGAAAGACTTGAATTAAGGAAATACAATATCTTATCTTTACACTAGATATGTGTTCACTCAGTAGTGGAGGAAGTATTCAGATCCTTTAATGCAATACAAGTACAAACACCACACGGTGAAAATACTCTGCTACAAGTAAAGTCCTGCATTGAGAATATTGCTTCAATATAATCAGTAGAAGTAGTTAAAGCTCATTTATGATTATTTTCATGATGGAATAATCTGCTGATTATTCTCTCCATTAATCCATTCATTGTTTGGTTTGTAAAAATAGTGAAAATAGAGAGAAATGGTTTCACAATTAGTTTAATCTTTATCAACACATATTTAATAAAATGTGTGAAGCAGTATAAAGAAAACGGAATACTTGACCTCAAATGTGTACAGTACTTGAGTAAATGTACTTGGTTTACAAAAAGTACCACAAAAAAAACTATGTTTGAGCTTTATACTGATGCAGTTTTCCCACAATGCATTTCGCAACAAAAACAACTAAATAGTAGTAAAACCGCTTTGTTTTTTAAAAATAAAGTAGGTAAGATATTTTCTAATTCTGATGATGTTATTCATCATTTCCTGTTTGCGTAAAACAACAAAACCACGTCACCACCATTTAGCAGCTCTTCTGGAGCTTTTGATCGTGATCATGATCTTCCTCGGCAGCTAGTTTTGCCCAGTTAACAAAACAAAGCATTAACAGTAATGGTACGTATTAAGATTGTTCTGAGTAAATAGTACATACTGTGGTAATGGTTGGTGGTACTTGTAGTGGTTTATGAGGCAACACTGCCACCATGTGGTGAACCGTGAGATGAAGCTGACTGCACGGCTTTCACTCTGACAGTTTGTTGTTCACAGTATTTTAAATTAATTTGGCTCAAAGTTTCAACATGCTAAATGTACACAAACACAGCACAGGTCTCCATCAGATGAAGTGATGATTAAACAATCATTTGAAAAGGTGATTTACTCAAATGTCCTGAAAGTTTTCCCCTCAGCTTGACAAAAATATATGAATATATATAAACATGTCAAGTTCATGACAATTATCTCAGTAACAATGGACAAAGAGGGGCATGTGCAGACACTGCTGAATGAACTAGATGTGTTGAAGGCTTCTAGAATGTTCCTCTGGTCTGTTTGACTCTAACGGACCAGAAGTTACTAAATGAACATCATGCTGGATTGAAGAAGACTGCAGCTGCTGGTCCAATCAGGTCCTGCAGCACGATGACAACTCATGAGAGTCCCGCCCACTGCTGTCAGACCAGACCAGACCAGACCAGACTGTGACCTCTGACCCCCCAACTCCAAAACCTCCCCTAGTTTCAGTTTGTCTCTCAGTGCATATTAGTGTCACACTACACACACACACACAAACAAACAAACAAACAAACAAACAAACAAACAAACACACACTTGTACATAGCAATGCCAAGCTACCAAACACTGGTGAATGCCACGATCACTATTCAACCTTTTGTCATGACTCTGGGTCGTGTGCGTGTGTGTGTGCGTGATTCTCTGAATCTAAAGCAGCTCATGAGCTCCTGAAGTATTTATTTTATTTTCTAACACAAGTCGTGTCTCGTGAACACTCCGCTGGAAGTCTTCTTTCTTCCCTCATGCAGCTGCAGACGTCTCATTAACTGTGTGAAGGTTCCTGCTCGTCGTTGCTACGATGTGGAAACTAGCAGAGAAGCATCGTTACTCTTCACACAAGCAGAGAAGTATCGTTACTCTTCACAGAAGCAGAGAAGTATCGTTACTC